CCTCCTCATCATCCTCTTCATTCCTCATCATCCTCCTCCTCCTCGTCCAGCTCGTTCTCCTCCTCCCCCTCTTCCTCATCCTCCTCCTCCTCCTCGCCTTCCTCCGTATGATCCTCTTCCTCGCCCTCCCCCTCCCCCTCCCGCCCCCCCCCCCATCCTCCTCCTCCTCCTCCTCCTCCTCCTCCTCCTCCTCCTCCTCCTCCTCCTCCTCCTCCTCCTCCTCCTCCTCCTCCTCCCCCTCTCCTCCCCTCAGCTCCTCCTTCTCCTCCTCCTCCGCCTCCTCCCCCCCCCGCCCTCCTCCTCCTGCTCCGCCTCCCTCCTCCTCCTCCTTCTCCTCCCAATCCTCCTCCTCAAACTCTTTCTCTTCCTACTCTTCCTCCACCTCCTCCTCCTCCTCCTCCTCCTCCTCCTCCTCCTCCTCCTCCTCCTCCTCCTCCTCCTCCTCCCCCTTCTCCTCCGCCTCCTCCGGCAGCGTCATTACCAACAACATCATCATCATCATCATCATCATCATCATCATCATCATCATCATCATCATCATCAGCATCAGCATCATCATCATCATCATCATCAGCATCAGCATCAGCATCAGCATCAGCATCAGCATCAGCATCAGCACTATCGTCGTCATCATCAGAATCATCATCATCGTCGTCATAATCATCAACAATAACAGCATCATCAGCATCATCAGCATGAGCATCATCAGCGTCGTCATCATCAGCATCATCATCAGCATCAGCATCAACAATACCATCATCATCAGCAACAGCATCATCAGCAGCATCAGCATCTTCAGCATAATCTGCATCACCATCCTCATCATCATAATCAGCAGCATCAGCAGCGTCATCTTCATTATCTTCAGCAACATCATCAGCAGCAGCATCACTAGCAGCATCATCAGCATCAGCATCAGCATCATCAGCAGCATCATCAACAACATCATCAGCATCATCACCAGCATCAACATCGTAAATGTCATCAGCATCATCATCATCATTATCAGCATCAGTATCATCATCATCATCATCATCATCATCATCATCATCATCATCATCATCGTCATCATCATCATCATCATCATCATCATCATCATCATCATCATCATCATCATCATCATCATCATCATTAGTGTCATCATCAGCAGCAGAAGTATTATCCTTATCAGCATTATCAAAACCATGATCAGCATCATCATCAACAGCATCGTCAGCAGCAGCAGCAACAACAACAACATCCTCATCAGAACCATCATCATCAGCATAATGATCATGATCAGCATCAGCATCTTCAGCATCATCATTATCATCATCAGCATCATCAGATTCATCAGATTCAGCATCCTCATCATCAGCATCATCAGCAGCAGCATCAGCATCAGTTTGAGAATCAGCATCATCAGCAGCACCATCATCAAAAACATCATCATGATAACCATCATCAGCATCATCATCAGCAGCAGCAGTATCGTCATCAGCATCCTCGTCGTCAGCATCAGCATCATCGTCATCAACTGCATCTTCATCATCAGCAACAGCATCATTATTAGCATCAGCAGTCTCATCATCATCAGCAGCAGCGGCATCAGCATCATCATCACCATCGTCCCCCGCCTCCGCCTCCGCCTCCTCTTCCTCCTCCTCCTCCTCCTCATCATCATCATCATCCTCCTCTTCCTCCTCCTGCACCTTCTCCTCCTCCTCCTCCTCCTATTCCTCCCCCTCCTCCTCCTCCTCCTCCTCCTCCTCCTCCTCCTCCCCCTCCTCCTCCTCGTCCTCCTCCTCCGCCTCCTCCTCCGTCTCATCCTCCGTCTCCTCCTCCTCCTCCTCCTCCTCCTCCTTCTCCTTCTCCTCCTCTCTAGATTTCCTCCCTCTCCTCCGCTTATTGCTTCTCCCCCGTGTGTTTCCCGAAGGGTTTCCACAACGGCTGGGGGAACACATGGCCCGATAGCTTGGCAGATCTCTGGCCACGACTCTCGGCCACATGTGCGATTCCGAAAGGCAGGGGGCGGCGGTGACTCGCCGTAGGCGTCTTCGATCTGCCGCCACCTGCTGGCTTGCAACAAGGGTGCCCGATTATTGCCAGTTCGTTTTCAAACTCCCCCTGGGTCTTCGGCCCAGCGCTCCGGCCACCTGGAAAGCTCCCCAAATCCCCTTCTCACGGCCCAAATCGCCTGTTGGACGGCCTTGGTGGGCCAACATGGCCTCCAGGATGCCTCCAAGACGGGCAAGATGGCCCTAAGCGAGCCCAAGATAGCCCCAAGATGGACTTCGAAACGGTCCAAAGATGCTTGCGAGACCGCCAAGATGACCCAAATGAGCCCAAGACGGCCCAAGAAGCGCCAAAGAGGCCCCGAAGACGGCCCAAGAGGCCTACAAGAGGTCATCCAGGCAGAAGAGGCCAAAATCATTGATTCTCTTTAGGTTTTTGAAGGCCGTTAGCATTTGCGTCAAGACGGCCTTCCGACGGCCCAAGACGGCCAAAGAGGCCCCCAAGATTATCCCAAGATCGCCCAAGAGGCCTCCGAGATGGCCCCAGGACAGCCCAAGAGGCTCCCAAAATGTGCCCCCAAAGGGACCCAAGACGGCCCAAGAGGCCTCCAAGATGCCCAAGATGGCCTTCAAGACGACCCTAAGTCGTCCCAAGAAGGCCTCAAGACGGCCAAGAGAGGCTCCCAAGACGGCTTTCGACGGCGTGAGACAGGCCAGGAACACCAGAAGGCAGCCAAATAAGCCCCCAAGAAGCCCCAAAGGCCCCCAAGAGGCCCAAGGAGGCTCCCAGGAGGCCTCCAAGAGGCCCCCAGGAGGCTCCCAGGAGGCCCAAAGAATAACCCTATAAGCTCCCAAGAGGTATCCTCGTTCTTTTCCTCCTCTTTTTGTTCCTCCCTCTCCTTATCCTCCTCTTCCTGCCCCACGTATTCCCCGAATGGCTTCCACAACAGCTGGGGGAATGCATGGTCCAATAGCGTGGCGAAACATTCCCCAAACGTTTGACCACATGGGCGTATCCTAAAAGGCAGGAGGCGGCGGTGATTCGCCGTAGGCGTCTTCGATCCGCCGCCCCCTGTTGCCTTGTCACAGGGGTGCCTGGCGTGCTGAGGTTCAGGAGCTTGGGGGTTTGGGGGGACTCCCTCTGGGGCTTCGGCCTAGCGCGCTGGCCACCCAGAATTTGCAACGCCCGCTGGTCTCCCTGGTCAAAACGGTGCCCAGAGGGCCTCCAGGACGGCCAAGACGGCCCAAGATGGCCTCCAGGTTCGCCCAAGATGGTCCGAGATGGCCTCCAAGACGAGCCAGGAGGGTCCAAGATGCCGCCAGGTTCGCTCAAGAAGCCATCAAGTCGGCCTAAGAGGACCCCAAAAAGCCTCCAGAACGGCCCAAGCGGCCTGCAAGAGATAATCCAGGAAAGCCAGAAGAGCCCCAAATCATTGATGTTCCTTAGGTTTTCGATTGATGTTGGCATTCGCTTCTTTTCGGCCTTCCGAAGGTCTACGACGGCCCAGGAGGCCCCCAAGACGGCCCAGGGCTCCATGACGCCCAATATGGCCTCCAAGACGACCCTGAGGCGCCCCGAGAAGGATCCAAGACGGTCCAGAGAGGCCCCCAAGACGGCTCCCGACGGCGTCAGACGGCCCCGGAACGCCCTAAGACTGCCAAAAGGGCCCCGAACAAGCCCCCAAAGGCCCCGAAGAGGCCGAAGGAGACCCCCAAGAAGCCTCCACGAGGCTCCCACAAAGTTCCCAGGACATGCAAGAGTGCCCCAAGATGCTCCCAAGAGAACTATTGCTCCTCCCCCTCCCTCTCTTCCTCCTTCTCCTCCTCCATTCCCTTTCCTTATCAATGTCTCCCTGTCGCACCCCGAGGCCAGGTTTAAGGGCGCGCTGGGCGTTTCGCCTGAGATTTCCTCACCATGTACGATTCTGAAGCTTAGAAATCGGCAACAGCTTCATAAATAGAGGGCGGGCCGTTTTCAAAATGTGGCTCTCGCCTAAGCACCGCGCACATTCCTTTGAACAAATTGCAAGAGCTTCACAGATTGAGGGCGAATCGTTTTCAAAATGTGGCTCTCGCCTTAGCGCCGCGAACATTCGTTCTGATCATGTGCAAGAGTGTCACGGATTGAGGGCGGTTCCTTTTCAAAATGTGGCTCTCGCCTTAGGGACACGCACATTCGTCTTAAACAATTGCAAGAGTTTCGCGGGGTCCCATGATCAACGTACCAGACACGGTGTTTTGCCAGGACTCAAGATTATGCTGGTGCAACAGTTTCGTTAATTTGCGGTGTTGGAATCTCAGGAGGAATGGCGCTCTGGCGCGATTCCCGATCGTCAAGACGCAACAGTCAGGTTGATCCGTGGCGTTGGAATCCTGAGAACGATATTTTGGCATGCTTCAGGGTCTTCCAACGGTTGTCTTCCGACGAGGCAGTTCTCTCAATGGAAATGAATCGTTGCAGGGGCCTATGAAGAGGGAGCTTGGAGGGAGGGTTTATTCCATCATCGTTGGTGGCTCTAGGGTTTACACTGGTCCTTCTCCTCCTCCTTTCCTTCCTCATCCTCATCCTCCTCATCCTTTTCCTCCTCCTCCTCCGTTTTCTCCTCCTCCACCTCCTCCTCCTCCTCCTCCTCCTCCTCCCCCTCTTCCTCCTCCTCCTTCTGATCTTCATCGTACTTCCTTTTTCTTCTGCTCCTCGTTCTAGTCCTCACATGTTCCACGACGGGTTTCAACGACGGCTGGGGGCACACATGGTCCGATAGCTCGGCAAAGCTCTACCCCAGCTTTTGGCCACATGGGCGCTCCCGAAAAGGCAGGGGGCGGCGCTGATTCGCCGTAGGCGTCTTCGATTGAAATACCCACCGCCTGGAGAACCGATCTCCAAGGACTCCAGGGTACCTAGGATATGGACACAGTTGGGCCCCATGGAACCCTAACAGCTCCATACCCGCCGAATCCCGAGGTCCAGAGACATCAATTCCCCAGGCGATGGATGTGTATACCCAGCCTCAGATCCTGCAACCAGGACCTAGCACGAATCGTCACATTCGATCGGGGAGCGAGCGAGAGATCAAGCGCGATGCTTGGACTCACTTAGCTTCGGTCGAAAGTCTTGATCAAAAACATATGTTATCATAGAAATAGGCACCCGAGAGGACTGTGCCTTGAAGGTAGCTGGATGGCAGCAGTGGTGAGTGCTAGACGAAGCGACGGAAACACAGGCCTGCAGGGGGCTTGACTTGGATAGAGCTCCCGACAATTTTCACCCTATGGCGACGCAGCAATCTGTCAAGCAAAGTTGCGTCAAGGCTTACACTCCGGATCGGGGACCCGCTCATCTAAGGTAACAAACTCTGGCGGAGGCCTCCTTTGGCACTCTGCTCGTGGACTGCTTCTTGGATTTTTTGGTGGGCAAAGTTCGCGAGGTATACCTGCTGGTCCCGCGGAGAGCTTCCTCCCTTCGCGGCCAAATCCCTGCTGTGATCGCACAGCTTAAACATCTTCATACTTATGCGCGATGGCCTGCCGCCGACCGCTGCACTTTTCGGCCAGCAGCGATCGTTGCCAACGAAAGCAACGCACCAAATAGGCACGTCCACGTTCACGGCGAGGCTGAAGCCTCCCGCCCTGAATTGCGCTACTTCCAAGGGCTTCTCCCCAGAATTCATCGTGCCCTCAGGATACCAACCAGCGATGCCGCCTTCTTTCACATGAGCCTCGAGAACTGCTTGCCGCTGGGCCATAAGATCCTTATCAACCTCGAACTTGCCCGCTGCAGCCGACTTGAATGGAACAACGAGATGACCCATCGACGTCACGATCGTTCTGAGAAAAGGGATCTTGACCAGGTGCGACGACACAAACATCTTCACCCGTGCTATCTTCGCCAAAGGCATCAAGGCAACGAGGATGATCGTATCTAGGAAACACAAGTGGTTCGCGATGAGGACAGCCCCCGTTTTTGATGCTTTCATTTCTGCCCTGAACTCTTTGAGCCCATCGATGTCTCTACGAATCCAGCATGAGCAAGCGAAAACGCAGCGCCATGCCACTGACGTTAGCACGAAGACACACTTTTGCCGACACGAGCCATCGCGCGCTGAGCCACAGCAGCAACAGCACTTTGCCACGATGTACGCGGGAAGAGTACAAAGCACCAAAAACAAGTTGAAGAAGAACACGGCAGCACTCCCCAAGCAGCCCATCGCTATCGAGAAACGCTCACACGCCAACGCTCGACTCTAATGCTTGAGCCCGACAGAGTACAAAGTGACGGGGACTGCACCAGTGGATCTTGCCTGAGGAAGCT